ACATTCATCCTGACGGCCAATGAAGCAATCCGGCCGAGCAGCGCCAAACACCTGGCCACGCCATCCCTCTTTGTTCTGCATGTAGTTCAACCATGTGAAGGCAGACTCAGTCACAAAGAATAAAGAGACCCTCAATATAGGCCACTGGAGTCCCTGCCAATGAACATGCGTTGACGACGCCGAGGGATAGGAGCCCGAGAGGATGTTGTAGTCCAAAGGATAGCCCCATGACACAACATATTGCGTGGGCAATTGCAAACCAAGGCAAAATCATGAAGGGAGGCGAGGGCCTCAAACAAGCGAACTTGGCCATGGATCCACCGCCATTAGGTCAAGGGCCAATAGTGAGATAAGTGGCCGTGTCCAATGTACACTTCATGGGGCTGTAGCTGCTTGCAGAAGGACAGCACCTCGGGCACAAACAATGAGTCCACAGGCTTGCAGGAGGTAGGTCTCGAGTTTCATCAGGTAGAACCATGTCTTGGAGGTCTCTTCCTCGTGGTCATCCTCCTGGAGGGACAGATTGCCACCCACCTTGCAACACTTCTGGGTATTGATGCAAGTATCAAAGTTGAGCTGGTGGGCCAAAGCATAGGAAGTGTCTTCAGGCATAGCAAGCCACTCAGGAGGAGCAGTCAACAGAGAGTCGCTGAGGTAGAGACACAAATGGGGCGGTCATAGCCCAAAGCCTCACGCACCGTGCGGCATGGTGGTCTCGCTGCGAAAACCAGGGTTGGCTTGCCACCAGCAACACCAGGGCGCCCCCTCGAAGATGCCAATTTCAAACGGCTCCGGCCTTAACAGAAACAAATATAAGGGCCGGCACAGTTGTCACGGGCCCAAAAACATGCCCTGGCCACCCTTGCGGTTGAGTACAGCTTCCCAATCGATGGCCTGCGGCTGCTCCAGCCACTCGTACTCAATGTCAAAACCAGTCCGAGCATCCCAGGAAAGATGGGGGTGCGGTGTACCCCTGCCATACAATGGACCTGAACATTGGAGCCTTGTCATTGTCCATGGCCGAAACCACAAGCTCAACATGTTCTCCCGCAACACATAGACCAGCCAAGTACAAACAGCCGTGCCCCTCAACCCCCAATAACACACCAATGTTGGTGGCTCCGGTTGTCTGCGGTGTCCAGAATGTCGCCAGCGCTCACGAGCTGCAGCGCCGAAGGTCTCGTCAGAGGCTTCCGTGAGCTGTCCCGCTGGCAGCGGGGGTCGAGCCTGCGCAGCAGGCGGCTTCTTGTTGACGGCCACCGCCGGTGGTGCCGGGGGTTCCGTAGCCATTTTGGCTCAAGGCGTCTCGGCTCAAAACTCACTGGAAGACTATGAGTAGGAGGTTCAAGGTCTCTTCAGAAGAAGATTCTTCCTTGTAGCCGGACCGTAAGGATAGTTGGGTGACTTCCGGTAACCGCCCTTTTTCTTTTCTCTTGCGGTGTCCTCAGACACTGTCTTGAGAATTTCTCCTTCTAGTTGTGATCCGGAATTGTTTTCACTAAGCGGTGACCTCAGTCACTGTCTTTTGCGATTACTCTTCCTTAGTTTTGTCAACACCTTCCCAGTGCGGTGACCTCAGTCACTGTCTCGAATTTGCCGGTTGTCCACTTGTCTGTTTTCGCCTTTCGAGCAAGCCTTTGAAACTTGAGATGCTCTCCAAAGAGTCCTTGAACTTAATCGCACAGACTATCTATAATTATCTTTTTGCAGCTTTCGAGTCACAGGGTCCTCTCAAGCAGCATATACAGCTTTCGTTTGTTTAATTAGGCTACGCTTTCCAAAGAGTCTTTGAGCGTAATCACGCAGGCTATCTATGACGATCTCTTTGCAGTTTTTGAGTCACAAGTGTGCCTTTATGCCTTAGTGTCTAAGAATCGCATCAGATCTAGTTTGTTTGCCGATTTCCTAGCATGATTTGTACTGACCAGCACACTGGCAATTTGTTCGTGGTAGGGGAGGATGAGCTCAGCTCAAGGTTTTTGACAGTAGACCGTCAGTTGTCTCTTGTCGATTTTGCCTGAGGTTGACCAATGTCTCAAAGATGCTTTCCAAAGAAGCCTTAGGTATCATTGCGCAGAGCGGTCACAGGAGAGCCCGTCTCAGGCGGCTGAGTGATCCGTGGGGTGATCCCCTGACAGCGTGCCC